GGCGGGCGGGGGAGGTCAGGTCGATGTTGGAGCCAGAGGTGGAGGAGTGACTGCCTGAGGTGACAACTGTCTTGAACGAAGTGCCCTGGGGGAGAGAGAGGAGTGGATGAAAGAATGGAAGGAGTGATGAGTAGGTGGTTGGGTGGAAGGATGGATGGATGGATGGATGGATGGATGGATGGATGGATGAACGGATGAATGAATGGATGGACGGATGGATGAATGGATGAATGGATGGATGGATGGATGGATGGATGGATGGATGGATGGATGGATGGATGGACGGATGAGTGAATGAATCGCAGGAGAAGTGGCTGCCTGATGTGACCACTGTCTTGAAGGAGGTGCCATGGGGGAGAGAGGAATGAAAAAGTGGAAGAATGGATGGATAGATGGATGAGTAGGAGGAGGGATAGATGGATTGATGGACGGATGAATGAATAAACCAATAAATGAATGAATAAATGAATGAATTAAAAATTGAATGAATGAATGGATGAGTGAATGGTTGAATGAATGAATGGATGAGTGAATGATAGAATGAAAGAATGGATGAGCGAATGAATCGCAGGACGAGTGGTTGCCTGATGTGACCACTGTCTTGAAGGACGTGCCCAGGGAGAGGGGAGGGGAGGGGAGTAATGTGCGAAAGGGTGATAGAATGAGTCATTGAACAGAAGAATGAAAGAGTGGATGATTAAATCTGGAAAGTAATACAAGAAAAAACCATTGAATACGTAAATAAAAAAGAATGAATGGGACTGAAAAAAGGAAGTGATAAAAGAGAGAACGGTGGAATGAGGTGAGTGAATGAAAGAAAGAACGAAACAGTGACTGATTGAATCTAGGAAGTAATAAAAGACAGACTGATCGGATGAGCCAATGAATACACACAAAAATGACTAAAAGAGGTCGATGAGAAAAGGGAAAAATGGCTGAATCTACCTACTTTTAAAAAAAGAGCGATAGAATGAGAGATTGAAAGAGTAATGAAAGAAGCCGTGAAAAATGAAATCATTCATGAGAGAAAGAATGAAAAGGATGCAAATTTAAAAGAATGAATTGAATATTGTGGCATATGAGCGGCAGGGGTATTGCACTCTCTGTTAGTCGGAGTGGTCATCTATATACCCCCCCCCCCACCTAAAACCAAAACAAAACAAAAAGAAACAAAAAAAACCACCAACCACCAACCCCCACCCACACAAACACACTTCCCAACCCATATAAACTCGCATTTGAAGTCTATAAAAACGTTTAAAGTTGATGAAAACAAAACAGAACAAAAAAAAACTTTCCCGTACCTGGGAGGAGGAACTGGCCAGGGAGCTGGCGTCATCACCAGCGTCTGGGATCCGGCCAAAGGAAGTGACCCCCTCCTCAAACGTCTGACCGTTGGTCATCTTGCCCGGCATGGCCAGAGCTATGATCTCTGACAGGTCCATGGGCTCGGACATTGACGGCGGCGCTTCTATAGACACCTCAGCCTGGGGGACATACACGCACATACACACAATATTAGATGATAAGATAAGATAAGAATTGATAAGATGAGATGAGATGAGATCAGATCAGATCAGATAAGAAAGGATAGGATAAGATAAGATAAGTTATAAAAAGGTTATGAAAAAATAGAAAAATAGAATAGATAAGATAAGATAAATCTTTATTTCCAGACACTGGCACATTGGTTTGTTGATTTATGACACACACACACACACTCACACACACTCACACACACTCAACTACACTCAAACACACACACACACAAACACACACAGACACACACACACACACACACACACACACACACACACTCACACACATAAACACACACAAACAAAAG